GGCAGGATGGCCATTTTGACGATATTAATTCTTCCTAGCCATGAGCATGGGATGAGTTTCCATTTATTAGTGTCCCCTTTAATTTCTCTTAAGAGTGACTTGTAGTTTTCAGAGTATAAGTCTTTCACTTCCTTGGTTAGGTTTATTCCTAGGTATTTTATTCTTTTTGATGCAATGGTGAATGGAATTGTTTTCCTGATTTCTCTTTCTATTGATTCGTTGTTAGTGTATAGGAAAGCTACAGATTTCTGTGTGTTAATTTTGTATCCTGCAACTTTGCTGTATTCCGATATCAGTTCTAGTAGTTTTGGAGTGGAGTCTTTAGGGTTTTTTATGTACAGTATCATATCATCTGCAAATAGTGACAGTTTAACTTCTTCTTTACCAATCTGGATTCCTTGTATTTCTTTGTTTTGTCTGATTGCCGTGGCTAGGACCTCCAGTACTATGTTAAATAACAGTGGGGAGAGTGGGCATCCCTGTCTGGTTCCCGATCTCAGAGGAAATGCTTTCAGCTTCTCGCTGTTCAGTATAATGCTGGCTGTGGGTTTATCATATATGGCCTTTATTATGTTGAGGTACTTGCCCTCTATTCCCATTTTGCTGAGAGTTTTTATCATGAATGGATGTTGAATTTTGTCAAATGCTTTTTCAGCATCTATGGAGATGATCATGTGGTTTTCGTCCTTTTTGTTGATGTGGTGGATGATGTTGATGGATTTTCGAATGTTGTACCATCCTTGCATCCCTGTGATGAATCCCACTTGGTCATGGTGTATGATCCTTTTGATGTATTTTTGAATTCTGTTTGCTAATATTTTGTTGAGTATTTTTGCATCTACGTTCATCAGGGATATTGGTCTGTAATTTTCTTTTTTGGTGGGGTCTTTGCCTGGTTTTGGTATTAGGGTGATGTTGGCTTCATAGAATGAGTTTGGGAGTATTCCCTCCTCTTTTATTTTTTGGTAAACTTTAAGGAGAATGGGTATTGTCTTCTCTGTATGTCTGATAAAATTCCGAAGTAAATCCGTCTGGCCCGGGAGTTTTATTCTTGGGTAGTTTTTGATTACTGCTTCAATTTCGTTGCTGGTAATTGGTCTGTTTAGATTTTCTGTTTCTTTCTGGGTCAGTCTTGGAAGGTTGTATTTTTCTAGGAAGTTGTCCATTTCTCCTAGGTTTTCCAGCTTGTTAGCATATAGGTTTTCATAGTATTCTCTAATAATTCTTTGTATTTCTGTGGTGACCGTTGTGATTTTTCCTTTCTTGTTTCTGATTCTGTTGATGTGTGTTAACTCTTTCTCTTAATAAGTCTGGCTAGAGGCTTATTTATTTTGTTTATTTTCTCGAAGAACCAGCTCTTGGTTTCATTGATTTTTTCTATTGTTTTATTCTTCTCAATTTTGTTTATTTCTTCTCTTATCTTTATTATGTCCCTCCATCTGCTGACCTTAGGCCTCATTTGTTCTTCTTTTTCCAATTTCAATAATTGTGACATTAGACTGTTCATTTGGGATTGTTCTTCCTTCTTTAAATATGCCTGGATTGGTATATACTTTCCTCTTAAGACTGCTTTCACTGCATCCCACAGAAGTTGGGGCTTTATGTTGTTATTTGTTTCCATATATTGCTGGTTCTCCATTTTAATTTGGTCATTCATCCATTAATTATTTAGGAGCATGTTGTTAAGCCTCCATGTGTCTGTGAGCCTTTTTGCTCTCTTGGTACAATTTATTTTTAGTTTTATACCTTTAGTGGTCTGAAAAGTTGGGATAGGATTTCAATCTTTTGGAATTTACTGAGGTTCTTTTTGTCCTAGTATGTGGTACATTCTGGAGAGTGTTCCATGTGGACTTAAGAAGAATGTGTATCCTGTTGCTTTTGGATGTAGAGTTCTATAGATGTTTATTAGGTCCATCTGTTCTAGTGTGTTGTTCAGTGCCTCTGTGTCCTTACTTATTTTCTGTCTGGTGGATCTGTCCTTTGGAGTGAGTGGTGTGTTAAAGTCTCCCAAAAGGAATGCATTGCATTCTGTTTCCTCCTTTAATTCTGTTAGTATTTGTTTCACATATGTTGGTGCTCCTGTATTGGGTACATATATGTTTATAATGGTTATATCCTCTTGTTGGACTGAGCCCTTTATCATTATGTGGTGTCCTTTATCTCGTTACTTTCTTTGTTTTGAAATCTATTTTGTCTGATACTAGTATTGCAACACCTGCTTTTTTCTCCCTATTTGCATGAAATAACTTTTTCCATCCCTTGACTTTTAATCTGTGCGTGTCATGAGGTGAGTCTCTTGTAAGCAGCATATAGATGGGTTTTGCTTTTTTATCCATTCTGTTGCTTTGTGTCTTTTGATTGGTGCATTCAGGCCATTTACATTTAGGGTGATTATTGAAAGATGTACTTATTGCCATTGCAGGCTTTAGATTCGTGGTTACCAAAGGTTCAAGGTTAGCTTCTTTATTACCTTACTGTCTAACTTAACTCGCTTATTGAGCTATTATAAACGCAATCTGATGATTATTTCTCTCCCTTTTTATTCCTTCTCCTCCATTCTTCATATGTTGGGTGTTTTGTTCTGTGCTCTTTTTAGGAGTGCTCCCATCTAGAGCAGTCCCTCTAAAATACCCTGTAGAGGTGGTTTGTGGGAAGCAAATTCCCTCAACTTTTGCTTGTCTGGGAATTGTTTAATCCCTTTGTCATATTTAAATCATAATCGTGCTGGATACAGTATCCTTGGTTCAAGGCCTATCTGTTTCATTGCGTTAAATATATCATGCCATTCTCTTCTGGCCTGTAAGATTTCTGTTGAGAAGTCTGATAACAGCCTGATGGTTTTTCCTTTGTAGGTGACCTTTTTTCTCTCTCTGGCTGCCTTTAATACTCTGTCCTTGTCCTTGATCTTTGCCATTTTTATTATTATGTGTCTTGGTGTTGTTCTCTTTGGGTCCCTTCTGTTGGGAGTTCTGTGTACTTCCGTAGTCTGAGCAACTATTTCCTCCCCCAGTTTGTGGAAGTTCTCAGCAATTATTTCTTCAAGGACACTTTCTATCCCTTTTTCTCTCTTCTTCTTCTGGTACCCCTATAATGCCAAAATTTTTCCTTTTGGATTGGTCACACAGTTCTCTTAATATTGTTGTATTCCTGGAGATCCTTTTATCTCTCTCTGCATCACCTTCTATGCATTCCTGTTCTCTGGTTTCTATTCCATCAATGGCCTCTTGCATCTTATCCATTCTGCTTATAAATCCTTCCAGAGATTGTTTCACTTCTGTAATCTCCCTCTGGAGGTCATCCATTAGCTCTTGTATATTTCTCTGCAGCTGTGTCATCATGTTTATGACTTTTATTTTGAATTCTTTTTCAGGAAGACTGGTTAGGTCTATCTCCTTCTCAGGTGTTGACTCTGTGATTTTGGTCTGTCTCAGATTCTGCCTTTTCATGGCAGAGCTGGGGTGAGTGACGGCTGGGAGAACGTCCCTTCTTGTTGGTTTTTGGCGTTCCTCTCCTGGAAGAACAGCGACCTCTAGTGGCTTGTGCTGGGCAGCTGCACGCAGACAGAGCTTCTGATTCTTGCCTGGCTGCTATGGAGTTTAGCTCTGCTGTTGATGTGGGCGTTACCTGCCTCGGGCAGCTGCTTCCATATGGCAGAACCACGTTGGTGGGGAAATGGCCGGGAGGCTGTTTATCTCCATGAGGGGCCTCTGAGCCGCCCTGCTGCCCAGGATGTTAGGGTGCCAAGAGTTCCCCGGGATTCCCAGCTGCTGGGCCAAGTGTCCCAGGAGGCTTCTGTCCAGCTGTGGGGTCCCTGTCCCTTTAAGACTTTCAAAAAGCACTCGCTTTTCTTTGTTCCCCGGGCACTGGCTGCGGGGACCCGCTCACAGGTCTTACTGTCCTGTTTCCCTAGTATCCAGCACTCTACGCATGCACTGTGTCTGCGCTCCTGGTGCGGATGGCTAGCGCTGGCTATTTAGCAGGCCTGGGCTCCCTCTCCCTCCCTGCTTTGACTCCTCTCCTCCTGCCGGGAGCTGGGGGGAGGGGCACTCGGGTCCCGCCAGGCCACGGCTTGTATCTTACCCCTTCGTGAGGCGCTGGTTTCTTGCAGGTGTGGATGTAGTCTGGCTGTTGTCCTGTGTCTTCTGGTCTCTCTTTTAGGGAGAGTTGTATTTGTTGTATTTTCAAAAACATATGTGGTTTTGGGAGATTGCTGCTGCCCTACTCATGCCGCCATCTTGGCTCCTAGCCTTCTCATACTATTTTTATTTTATTTTTGTATTTAGCTTGTAGACCCTGGAGTTAAAGCATGGACACCCACTAAAGGAAAACAAAATGTGATCATGTTTGTTGGATTGCAAGGGAGTGGTAAAACAACAACATGTTCAAAGGTAAATTATACTTAATTTTTTTAAAAGTCCTAGAGAAGATATGTTTGTATAAATCAAATTTTATGTTAAAGCCAGGTTTTCTAGTACTGTTGTTTTACAGTTTTGTTACTTGATGTACCTATTATGTTTTAGTAATAGCTTTCTGTAGGGTAAGAAGAAAGATTCCCATCCTCTCTCTGATGATTGCTTAAACTCTTTAGGAAATTTGCTGTATTCAAAAATTAATAATACTATTTTTAGGGGAATGTGAGAAGTTTTACTTTACTCATTAAGAAAATAACAAGGCTGACAACAAAATTATGTGTATATTAATTTGTATTTATTGATGTGTTTTTGTGATCTTCCTTTTCCAGTTAGCATATTTTTACCAGAGGAAAGGTTGGAAGACCTGTTTAATATGTGCAGACACATTCAGAGCAGGTAATATATTGAAATTTGAAAACTGTTTTCTATAATTTGTATTTTCAAGTTTGAGGACTCATTAACAACTCTATCTCATAGGGGCTTTTGATCAACTAAAACAGAATGCTACCAAAGCAAGAATTCCATTCTATGGAAGGTGGGTTTATATTTTTTATTTTGATAATCATATGCCTCATCTAGTCTATCTTTTTTATTTTATCTGTCTCACTATTTTAATATACACTATAAGCTTAAATCTTTTCTGAAATGAAGTAGAGGTATAAGTGTTATCTTTTATTATTATGACTTTTCTGATCCAACCTATTATAATTTATAGCAGGTTATTTATAATAAACTACAATAAGTTTATTTTATAATTCTGCATGTATTTATCATCTTGTCTTGCATGCTTTCTGACTTTCTTCTGCTTCTCTTCTCCTGTTTCTTCTGTCTGAAGCATTCCTTGATGAAACACACACTAGCAAATTCCATACTGTTTCTTTAATACATCACTTTAAAAAGTTAGTGTTTGATCATCCTAAAATGGCTTATGATCGGTAGTTATCTCAGAGATTCTGATCATTGCCCTCCTTCATTTGATACAGCAGTTCAGTTAGGTTGTTTATGTTAGAATGATTAATTAAAAGAATCAAGTCTGGAATTGCATTTAAAGGATTTATTATAGGGAATAGCATTTTTCTTAACATTATTAATATAAGTGGTGTATTATACTCTCAGGAAGAAAGTTTAAAGAAGCCAGTATTTGAGGTAATGAAATGAATATCATTTTGTTAGTCATTGCCTTGTACTTTTTGGATGTGCCAAAAACCTAGTGAACTTTGGCTGTTATGTTCTTTATTTAAAATATTTTTCTTTTAGTGTCTTTTTTATATATAATGCTAACAGGTAAATTAAAGAATAATGTTAGGGACTGTATTTTTAGGATAAGAACTGTTTATAATATAGATTTAAAAATCAAGGGATAATGAATACTTTTATCTTTAGGGTTCACACTTTGCAAATGCTTTCATTTAGCTGATAATTACTTGAGCTATCAGCCAAAGCTAGAGCACAAATTATTAAGCAGTATTATTAATACCACTTATTAAATGATCTCTCCTTTGCTCATGTAAACTTAAAAAAACATATTGCATGTATGGAGTAACCTGTTAGTGATCATTGTTTCCTCTGGGAGGGATGAAAGGAATGGGACTGGGGAAGGACTTAAACTTATTTATCTCCAAGTGGAGTTTTCATATTAGCATTTTTTTGGGGGGAGGTCAGTAAATACAGGCCTGTTATATTATAATTTTTCCTTAAAAAAAACCCCTACACTATTTTAATTAAGAGTGTTAAAGAAAAAGTGAAAGCACTAAGTGTCACTTTCCAGTTAATGGTTTTTAGAATGTCCATTTGTGCTTTTTTCAATGTCTATACAAACATATACATAATTTAAAATTGAAATGAAATCTTAGAGTGCTTTGTACCTTGATTGTTGTGGTAGAGAATATGTGGATTGCATAAATTTGTCAAAACGCATCAAAATGAACACTTAAAATAGTACATTTTATTGTTTTTAAATATGCCACTGTAGTGTCGATTTAAAAAATGGGCTCCTATGACAGTATAGTTATTACTTTTGGGAGGAGAAAGGTGCTGGTTATATTGTTTCTTGATCTGGGTGTGTTTGTGAAAAATTCAATGAGTTTATAATTTCTGCAACTTTTCTACATGTATGTCATTTCATTAAAATGTTTACTAAACAAATGGGATTCTAATAATTCTGGAATAGACAATGTACTGTTTAAGTTAATTCTTTTTTATGACATTATTGTATTCCATTGTATGCATGTATATGATTAATCCCCTTATGAACATCTTTGTTCATAAGTTCCATAAAGAAAAATCTCCCTAAGACTTTGATTGGAACTATATTAAAACCAATTAATTTAGAGGAAAACTGACATTTTTAGTATATTTGTATAGTTCCATATAGGACCCTATTGTATGTCTTTTATGTTAAAAAAAATCTATGTCCTGAAATATAATAGTTGTATTCATTTAACTGTCACACATACTAAGTGTATTCCTTATTTTTGTTGTTAATTTAGGGAAGAAACTTTTTTTTAATCTATATGTCTTTTCATTTGACAATATTGATCTGTATAGAAAGTTGCCATTAGTGTTAAGAATGCAAATTAAAATGCAATCTCCTATCTTGATTGTCAAGTTGAAAAGATTTTTGAGTATTGTGAAAATATAATGAAATAGAAATGAAATTGAACTTTTATGGAGGACATTTTCCTTTTAAAAACCAAAAGCCTAAATGGTCAGACCATTTGATCCCTGATTCAACTTATATGAGTGTATCATAACAATTTCAGAGAAACAACATAATGTACTACTATTCATACTGATTTTATTTTTAATACCAGGAAATGGGAAAAACCATAAATGGCCAATAGGGCATTTATTTAATACATGATTGCATAGCCATCTTATGGAGTGCTTTATAGCCTAAGTCATGTTTTATAAGAATATTTAATGGTTTTATGAAATGCTTACAAAAGGGTGTTAAGTGGAAAAGCATGTGTGAAGCACTGTGTAACACAAGTTCAGTTATTAAAGGAAATATAAAAAGAATTGATGAAAACAACTTATTCAGAAAAGACATGCTGCAGCATCATTGGATTTCATAATTGGAAAACTAGGTACTGCTTAATGCTGTTCTAGAAGAAGATTGCTATATTTAATATTTATTAGATTTTATTCTTCTAAATTGAAATTGTGGACCCTTATGATGTTTTTAGAATAGATTAAAGATACACTAACAATCTCCAGATTATTAGTATTTTGGAAGTTTTGCTAAGTGGTTGTTAAATGATTTGTCCATGTTAAATAGCTATACAGAAATGGATCCTGTTATTATTGCCTCTGAAGGAGTAGAGAAATTCAAAAATGAAAATTTTGAAATTATTATTGTTGATACAAGTGGCCGCCATAAACAAGAAGATTCTTTGTTTGAAGAAATGCTTCAAGTTGCTAATGCTATAGTAAGTAGCTTTCAATTTAATAACATTATGAGGAATTTGGTTAATGTAATTATAAACCCCGATTGAGTATATGATCCGTACAAGTTATTTTTTGCCTGTAAGATAGATTATAAGTAATTTATTTCTATTTGGGTGTCCATATCTGTATGATAAGGACTTACTGTTCTCTACATTAAATATGAAATTTACAGAAGTATAAAAAAATTCCTTTCACTTAATCATCTTATTAGTATTATAAGACAAAAAGAAAATTAAGTATTTACCTTTAATAGCTGTTGAATTTCCTTTCTGTAAATTACTTAAATTAAAAACATTTTCTTTAGATGAATTTTGAAATTTTTTCAAAGTGAAGCATTTAAAAATCTTAATCATCTCATAGTGTATCTTTAAAATTGTGATGTAAATAATGCGGGGAGAAGAGGCAGTTTATAGATAATGTGTAGCACATATTATGAACACATGTTTTGCCATTGGGGTATTGGCAATAATTCTTTGGTTAATAGTTAATGCTAGTAAGTTCTTTTTTTTAGCTATGGCCTTATTTTGAGCTGAGCTAAGGGAAATAGTCACATCTCTATTTTATTCATTTTGGTTTCAGTGCATTTTCTTCAACTTTTTATTTTTCTCTGATTTACTTATGCTATTCCTTTTGCTTATAATGTGATTCCTCCAAATCTTTGCACAACTTTTCCTTTTAATTAAGGGCTCCTAAGTTACCTCCAAAGAGGCCTTCCCTGACTACCACACCTAAAGAAGCTTCCCACATCCCAAAACTCATATTTCCTATACCATTTTAACTGTTGTACATCTGAGATGTTTATTTGCCTATTTATTGTGTTCCCTCTGACTAGAGTGTAATTCCCACGAAGACAAGGATTTTTTTATTCATCTCTTTGTCTCAAGACCTAAATGGTGCCTGGTACATAGTATTCCCTCAATAAATATTGATTGATTGGATAAATATTTATAATAGTTTTCTATAGCTTCTAATGATGAGGTAAGTTTAAGAAAAGTAAAAATATGTATCTTGTGTATTTAAATTTTCTAGCAACCTGATAACATTGTTTATGTGATGGATGCCTCCATTGGGCAGGCTTGTGAAGCCCAGGCTAAAGCTTTTAAAGATAAAGTAGATGTAGCTTCAGTAATAGTGACAAAACTCGATGGCCATGCAAAAGGAGGTGGTGCACTCAGTGCGTAAGTATCATTGATGCTCTTGTCCTGTGTCGTGGGCTTATGTGAGTTTTTCTGGCTTTCTTATTGATCATTTAAAATATATTCCAGTGGATCTAATATGGTCCATAAAACAGAAACAGAATTTTGGAGTCTTTCTGATAGACTTCTATTTTAACTAGTGAAAAAAACTTGAGCTATATGCTTTTATCTACTTAGCTTTGAAATCTCTGGAAATTAGTTTTTCCTTTTGAGGTTATTTTCTGTTTTTCTTTATAGAGTTGCTGCTACAAAAAGTCCGATTATTTTCATTGGTACAGGGGAACATATAGATGACTTTGAACCTTTCAAAACACAGCCTTTCATCAGCAAACTTCTTGGTATGTACACTGGTGGAGATATAGAAACATCTCCAAGAAATAGCATGTATTTTTATTGTTAGGACATACTCAGATTTTAATCCAACCCTCTTACCAACCTCAGGAATATCATTTCCTTCTATGATTTGTCTTCCTCACCTGTAAAATAGGGGTGTGCTTATCTGCATCCTGTGGTTAGAGTGATAAAATGGAAGGTTCTTTGGAAAAGTTTCAGAGCACAATACAACAGTGATTGTGTTAATAACAATGGCAAAGGGATTTAAACTCTATAATGTCTCCAGGTATTAAAGAGCGTGGAATTTGGAATTAAACCCTGGGCCAGAGCTACTGCTTTTAACCTCTGAGCCTTGAGTTTTCTCACCTGTAAAGTGTAGTAGGGGTGCCTGACCTGCCTATCTTACAGGGTTATCATGTATGTGCATGTATTTTGTATAATATAAAGTAGGGTATACTATTAGTTGTTCATTTTTCTTTTCGGTCTTACAGGTATGGGTGACATTGAAGGACTGATAGATAAAGTCAATGAGTTGAAGTTGGATGACAATGAAGCACTAATAGAGAAGTTGAAACATGGTATATGAGTAACAAAAAGCATTTGATCTCAGATATCTTCCCTTGATTTCTTTTTGATAAAGCTGCTATTAATTTGTTTGAAATGATAAATCTATTATTAAAGCCAATTTTCAAATGATTTTTTTTTGGTAATGTATGTGCAAATCATTTTACATTTCAGACATCTGAGCAATTGTAGAATTGAGCATTTTTCTTTTCTGTTGTAAACCAGATTGCCTTAAGGTTGAAACTGAAGTTTTTCTTTGGTTCCTTGTAGAAAAAGGAACAATTCTTTCTGCTGGTTAGACAGGTGTCCTCCCCTCTTCTAGCCAGACTAACTCCTACTTATACTTCAGGTTTCTCCTTAAATGTCCTTCTTCAGGGACATTTTACCTGATCCCTAGACTAAGGTAGAACACTCTCCTATATACTTCCATTGTATACTGTAATTGTATTATTCATCACAATTATTTGATGTCTGTCTTTAGGCGAAGGTAGGTTTCATAGCTGTGTTTCTCATCTTCTATGTTCATAGTACCTAATACAGTTTCTGGGCACTTAGTACTAGGTCTTTAGTAAATATTGTTGAATGAATGAATCTATCCTTCATTGCCTGATTCTTTTCCCCCTGCCTTCCTCTTTCTTAAATAGTCTTAACACTGCTTCCATTACCACACTAGACTGGGGAATGTATTCCTAATCAGTCTGCTTTTTGACTCGTCTAAGTCTCCCTTCATGTCTGCATTTTGCTTCTGCTCCTAAATTCTACTCATTTTTGAGGTTACCACTGGCCTTCTAATTTCCAAATATGGTGACCTTTTTTTTCATTCCCAGTATTTAACAGTGTTATTTGCCTTTTCTAATTTTAGACTTTTCACTTGGGTTCCATGACAGTGGACTTTTTATATTATCATAGTTTTAACTGTCACTTCTGTAAAATAGTGAAATATGTATTTCAGCCTTAACCTTCTGTGCCACTCTTTAATTCTGCATTTTTAGCTGCCTGCTATAACATTTCTTTAGAAATACTATATGACTTCACATTTAGAATGCCTAAAAGCAAGTATCTTTTCCATTTATATTTTAGGATGTAAGTAGAAAATACTCTTTCCTTATTGTCTTATTCCTTTTTTTTTGAAGTTTATTTACATATAATAAAATGCTCAGATCTAAAGGATATCATTCCATCAATTTTGACAGATGTATAATAACACACATACCATGAGGAAACATCATTTCTATTACTTAACAAAGTTTGTTTATTCCTCTTCCCAGTAAATATTTCATATCATAGGAATCCTAGAGTATGGCCCTTTTTCCCCACCTGGATTCTTTGATTCAGCATATTTTTGACATTCACCTATATAATTGTACTTACCTGTAGCTTATTCTTTTGTTGCTGAGTAGTAGTTCATCCACAGTCTATTTTTCCTGTTCACAGACAGTTAAGCTAAGAAATTACAAATAATCTTAAAAGTGTTTTTGTCATTTTACATTCTCACAAGAAACATGAGAATTGTCTTCCCCACTAACTTCTGGTGTTGTCAGTCTTTTTAATTTTAGTCATCCTAGTGGGTATAGTTTATGTGCCTTGTTTTCAAGTTCCTGTGTATATGTTTATGTCTGTTTTCTCTGATAGAATGCAAGTTTCTCTAGGATAGACTTTGCCCATCTGTATCTTCTCCACCGCATTTACCCTATGATCTTGCACACAGTAATTTCCCAGGGAATATTTATTGATTGGATATTTTGTAAGTGTGCTTTAAGAATGAGCCCATGATTAAGGAAAAGATTAGTTTTATTGAATGGAAGTATATGTTCTCTAATATATTGGAATCATTTATATTGTATTTCAGGTCAGTTTACGTTGCGAGACATGTATGAACAATTTCAAAATATCATGAAAATGGGCCCCTTCAGTCAGATCTTGGTTAGTTATCCTACAGTCTTTTTTTCTATCTTCTGTTGTTTTTTGTTAAAATTTCTAAGAATAGATTCATTTGCTTTAATTATTTTTACTCTTTGGGTAAAAATAGATACTTAAAAAAATTAGTGTCAATATTAAAGCCAGTAGTTAAATGTGAATATTCTGAACAATTAAACTCAAGCTATTATTGATTTTGTTTAAATATATTGGTTTTAGGGGATGATCCCTGGTTTTGGAACAGATTTTATGAGCAAAGGAAATGAACAGGAGTCAATGGCAAGGCTGAAGAAATTAATGACAATAATGGATAGTATGAATGATCAAGGTAAGATGGCAGATTAGTTAACTTGGAGGACAATGTTCTGAATATTGGCAAGTTGAGATTTTCACTGTGTTCTTGTGGACAAGAGATAGCTAGTTTTTGTAGTGTTAATTTTTTATGACTGAAGTGTTTAAAAGGTCTTATAAGCCAGAGTATCTTTAAAAAATAGTTACATGAAGAATGCAACTGATTTTTGTGTTTACTTGGGCAAAGATTTTATAGCCCACTAAATTATTTCACCAGTTAAAAACTGCAATATTCCTATAGAACGTTATATACCCTGAAACTCAGGGGTTCAGTCTTATCAGCAGTACACTGCTCTGTCTCTGTAATCCTATTTTACCACTATCTCCTATACTTCCATGGCCTTTATGCCATCCTCAGCCTATTAGCATCTCTGATCCCATGACCCTTTTATCTTTTTCCCAGTTTTTTAGCACCTTTATCATTCAAACCAACAGTTAACGCCAGACATTTATTCTTTTTCAGACCGCCTGCTGGACTACTTGCTCTCTGACCTCATTTATAAAGAAATATAGACTTTTAGCATTGAATTCCCTTAACCTTTGGCTGACTTACCTAAAAAACTGTGATGGCCACAAACCATTCTTTAAGCTTTTTCAAGGGTCTGCCTCCATCAGTGAAAATCCTTTCCTGTATCTTTAGTCTCTCTTACACACTGACTTTTTCTCCATCAACACATAAGCATTCTTAAATTCACATTTTCTGGGCTTTACTTCTCCCTCATGTTTTTGCTCTATCTCTCATTCAGTGAAGCTTCTTAAAGAACAGTTTGTCTTCTCAAACCACTGAAATCTGACTTCTGTCCCCACCATTACTCTGAAATAGGTCATACAAAGATCTCTAATAATCTTCTACTGGTCTACATCAGTGGATTAGTTTATCTTGGCTCTCTCCATTTGAGCTCTTGGGAGAAATATACATATTTTCTGAATTTTATTTTATAGTGAAGATGTGGCTTAAAAGCTGCATTTTTGAAATGGTTTTAGAGGTTTTAATGGACTATAAATTTATTGTGAGATACTTTGATCTTTTTGTATTGCGTTGGAAATTAAACATTACCTGGATTTCAGTTTACTTCTGGGCATAGACAAATTAGAAGATGTATTAGGAATCAGGATGATAAATGGGGTTTGAAGTCATATGATAGGAGGAACAGTCAAAGGAGTTGGATGTTTGTCACCTAGAGAAAATTCACAGAGTCATGGTGGCTCTCGAATATTTGAAAGCCTTGTTCTTTGTGTCTGGCAAGGAGACATCTATGCAAATAGGAAGAAGTGTCAGGCAAACACATTTCATTTTAATATGTGAAAAGATTTTCCATAATTACAGGTTACAGCATAGATCGCCTTATGTTAGATAATAAGTCATATCTCCTGGGGATGTTAAGACTGAGGTTAGATGACTACTTATTGAGGGATGTTGTAGAGAGGATACAGATATAGTTGAAAATTTGACCAAAGTCCATCCCGTCCCTGAGATTTTATGCATCTAAAGCAGAAGTGCACTTCATATTCTAAGAGTTACCAAAACACTGTGGGGAATTAACTCCTTTAGAAAATATTGAAGTACTAGTAGTAATTGCTTGATTATACGAAATATAATTGTTATTATATTGTTGATTATAATATAATCTGTTGATTATAGATAGAACCTACCTACTTCTGCTTGCTTATATGCCTGAATTTATGATTTAAAGGTTAATAGTTACTTACAGCTAATGTGAGCACTTTTGTTCTTTCTTGAAATATACCTTATACCTCTGGCATATGCTCTAAAGAGCAGTTGGATATGAATTATGGGAAGGGTGGACATGAGTTTCAGAGGTTTTTAGATTTTGTAATCTAATACAAATAGAAGTAAAATGTTCTATTTTACTTAAACTATAGGATGAGTACATATATATTTTATTGTTTTTATAGCTTATGAATATTAATAAATATTCTTTTGAATATGTTCTGTGTTTAATTTTTAAAAATCAAACGCAAACATGGCAGATGACAACAATCTTTGTTAAAGCTGGTAGTGGCATGATCATTATATTTGTTTTCTGTGTGGAAGGTATTTGCACATAACTGCTTTGATAATGAATGTTGATTGTGTCTAAATAAGTGTAAGTAATTGACCCTTGCCTACAGAACTTGACAGTACTGATGGTGCCAAGGTTTTTAGTAAGCAACCAGGAAGAATCCAAAGAGTAGCAAGAGGATCAGGTGTGTCAACTAGAGATGTTCAAGAACTTTTAACACAATACACCAAATTTGCGCAGATGGTAAAAAAGATGGGAGGTATCAAAGGACTTTTCAAAGGTAAGAAAAATAACAAGCTCATCATTAGTTAACACACTGAAAGAAAGAAGTTGAGAAACTAACAATTAAAGCTCAGGAGTACTGCCAGGACTGGAAAATATTTTGTTACATTTCATGTTAATACTTGATACTTCTGGGTTTTTATAATGCAATCTGAGATTTATCTGTTTTCAGATTCTAGGTAATAGAGACTAATATTTTTTGAAAGAGCAAACTTAATAATCTTATTTTTATGAAGATATATATTACAGGAAACTCAGAATATAAGAAAGTGTAAGAAAAATTTAAAACACCCATCACCTTTATTCCCCAGAGAATGCCATGGGTCCTTCTGGAAATAATATTTGATGTAACTAATGTTTTCGTCTGATACATTGTGACTGTTTTTCCATGTTGTCAAATGTTCTTGAAAATGTAACTTTTAATCACTGAATATGATTAGTTATGCATGTATCTTTATTTAGCAAGATGCCTCTTTGTTGGATGTGTAAGCTGATTCATCTGCTTCTGTATCAGTAACAGTTATCTAATCAGTTTCTGTGTCATCTTCCATGAGGCCAGAGATTTTATCTGTTTTGATCAGAAACATAGTAATGCTGAATAAATTTTGTAGTAATTTAGTGTTTCCAATTTTATGGTCATGTGTTTTTTCAATATGTTTTTTAGAGTACTACTCAAGTTTAACATTTCTTTGTACTTATACTAGTTTGAATTTCCTTTATGAGTCACCTCTTTGGTTCCTTATCCATCATTTTTTTCTGTTATTGCTTTATAGTAATTTGAAAGTCTGTTGCTAATGTGTGCAAATACTTTCCTCAGTTTTTTTCATTAGCCTTTTATTTTTATTTATATTTTTTAATGAAGAGTTTTCATTTTTAATGTAGCTAAGCTGATTTATCTTTTCATTTGATTTATGTTCATAAAATTCTTCCCCATGTTGAAACCACATTAGTCACCTGTATTTTCTCCTACTTGTTTCAGTTTTATTTTTTAGGTTTTACATTTTATCCCATTTGGAATTTATTTTGCTATATATTGTGTAAGGTAAAACATTAATGTTTCCAACAAATCAGCTGTCCCAGGCCTTTCTTAATTTTTTTTTCTGTATTATAAACACTATTAAATTTATTATTTCAAAAAATGTTGATTAGATAAACTCCAAAGATAAACAATACCACTAATTAGCTTTCTAAAAAGGATATATATTTACAGAAGTTTTTATTACCTTTTGTCATTGACACTTTTTAAAATTTTCTTTGCTTGCTATATCCTAGTTTCTTTTTTCTGATAAGGGAGAAAAGTTAGACATGTCTCAAATTGGCTATAATTCCTAATATAATATGCTATTTCAGATAGTGATTCATAAACATACTATGTCAGTTTAAAATTCTCCCCAGATAAGCCTGATTATTCTTGATAGAACTACTGCAGATGCATTAGTCAGTTTTATCTGAGCGTTAATACTCAGTAAAGCACAACCAAGATGAAATGGGCAGTGGATATGGTACACACAGTTGTCACACCAAATTCTTAATATTCTTTAGAAATTTTAAGTCCTCAGAAACAAACTTATGACAAATCACCAATGAAAAGAGAATTCACATATTATAGAGATTATTAATCATGAAAGTTCTTTTCAGATTTTAATAAAAACATAACTTCTCTTTCATAGTCCATAATTTGTATAAATTATTCAGATTAGCCAGGTTTGATGTTCATTTTTATAAATGCCTCTGAGAAGTATCAGAATTAAAGGTCCTTTATATAATATAATTTTGCTAAAGCAGTTCTACTTATTGTCATTACATCAATGATCTCTTTTGCTTCTTGTCTCTTAAGACCACAGCAACTGTTCTCCCAAGGATGCTCTTAGCTGTTCTGCCCCAGAGTGCATCTTTCATTGTTTGTCTTTTTTTACTGTGGAGTTTTGACTAGTGTATGGAAATTCATTTGATAAATGGAGTTGCATAATTTGTCTATTATCTGAAGCTTTTCATTATAACAGATAGACTCAAATCTTAATTATATACAAATCTTCACATTCATTCTTTGATATTCATTTACTAGCATCCCAGTTTCTCTCCCAGTTAACCCATATCTATAAACTCAATTTTTGCTCATCATTCTTCCATATCACTATTAAAGTTGTTATAGCTTACTGTTAATAACCACTAGATACAGTTTTGCTTATAGTGGCTCATTCACATGTATAACTCAAAGTATTAACAAAAATCATGGCCCTTAAAAAAATCCCTTAAGTGTCTCTTAATATAGAATTTTACTTGTTCTTTCTCAAAAATATGTATACAATTGAAATAAAAACTGAAGGGAATATGTACAAATAGAAACAATTAATGTTAGGTTGATAAGAACATAGGTAATGTTTTTCTTTTTCTTTTTTTTTAGGAGAGCAAGGTACAGGCTTTTATTTAGAGATAAAGTGAAAGGACAGAGCTCCTGGCTCATGCCAGGAGGGGACAAGAGAGTCCCTGTTTTTCTTTTTATTTGCTCAATTCATGAAACTTTCTATGATATCTTGATTATTATTACATTCTATATTGACTCAAACCCTTTTTTTTTCAGGTGGTGACATGTCTAAGAATGTGAGCCAGTCACAGATGGCAAAATTGAATCAACAAATGGCCAAAATGATGGATCCAAGAGTTCTCCATCACATGGGTAAATACAAATTGTTGCCAGTTGCTAAATACACAGCTTAATTTATAAGGATTGAGTTTTAATAAGCCTTCTGTTGTGATGTTAATGAAAATCTGTCCAAAAGATGTCTGATTTGAGAGAAATGGCCATCTGAATTCTAAGTTGTAATAGTGCTGTGTAAGCTGAAGTTTTAGTTACTCCTCTGTTGCCATCTGTGTGATTTTCGAACAAGCTACTTAATCACCTTTTGTTAATGCTTGTTCTTAGTGATCTTTTACCCTAGTTTGGCATATGGATATTTTCAGTTATGAAACTTTGAAATTAAATAAGGATTTGAAACCCAGCTCCAGTTTTACTATGCAGCTTGTGAAAAGTTCCTTAAACTTTTGAAACCACACTTTCCCTTTCTATAAAATCACTTGAGGAAATTGTGACAACTGAATGAGCTAATATTATGAAAGCACTTAGTACAGTTGTGGGCATATAGATGTTCAATAAATAGTGAATTATTTTCTTCCTGTAAGTTCTATGAAACAACTCTCTCCCCCAAAATGTATAATAATTTACGAAAGACTTTTGGCCTTCCTGGAAAAAATTGCTTTTGTTTAGATTTACTGATTCCCTACTGGGTGAAAAGTACTGTTCTAAAATCTTTTCACGTTTATCTCATTTATTGCTCACAACTTGAGGTAGGATATTGATTCTCTTTTATAGATGAAGATATTGGTGATAATACAGTTTTTTAATTGGCCTGTTCTTTAAGGCTGATGACCAAATTGTATCAGAACCAGTAAAATTTTTAGAAGTTAAAGTACTTACAAGGCAAAAGTAATAAATGTCTTAAGTTCTGCTTGATAATTATCTGATTTTACTCTACTTTCACTCTAGGTGGTATGGCAGGACTTCAGTCAATGATGAGGCAGTTTCAACAGGGTGCTGCTGGCAATATGAAAGGCATGATGGGATTCAATAATATGTAAAGAAGATGCCTTAATATAAACTGATGATTGATTACATTATTTGCTGAGACCTCAGAGTTCCTTTTTGCAAATGGGGGGAAAAAAAGTATTTTTCTTGCTTGTCTTGCCCTTTTTCTTTCTGTTCTCATCTTTGCCTCACCCTCCTTTTCTTTTCCTTCCTTCCTTTTTCCCTTCCTCCCTTTGATGAAAAGGAGGAATATATGGTTTTTGTGGAAATCATTATATTTTTGCTTTAGATTTTCTGCTGTTAATTTTCATCATCATAACACTTCTTAAGTTAAACAAATCATGATGTAAAATTTAGTACTTAAAAGTTTTTAATCGGCTCAAAGGCCAAGCATTACATTTGTAAACAGTCCTGGTCAGTAGTTATATGATGTCTCAATAAAAATGCTGTAAAATAAATTTCAAAGTCATTACAAGTTAAGGGGTTGTTAACTTTCTTTATGGTTTAAATTATCAGTGTATCATTAAAAGGCAGACAGAAAAGCCAACAGCTGTATGTCATTTAAAACTATTCCCCTAATGGGAAATATGGTAGGATAACTTAACCATTAGTATTGGGAATTTTTGTTTCACTTAGAATAATTAAGATAATTTTGCCACAGAAAATCTTAGCTCTGCCATTTGAGATGAAATTGTGAATTTGGTTACTTATACATTCACAATATAATGTTTGTTTATAACTTGCATTTTTTTACTTCATATTTTTGAAGACTTATGGCAATATTTGATTTTTTTAAAAAGCCAATTTTGTTACATTTCTTACATGCCAAAAATCTGCTTGAAGAAACTGATATACTTTGATGATAATAGCTAATGTTAAGACCTCCTATTGGGAAAATAATTGCAAATATTAGGCTGTCACTATTATATATTAAAAATAATGAGACCATGACAAGGTTGATCTGATTGTTGATTACTTTGGATTGCTGAACATTTCACTTAGAACAATGGCTGTTACATAATTTATGGAATTAATTAAAAATACTAGAATAATTACTATACTTTTTCATTACTGACATCATGAAGATTACAGATAAGGGTGTGTTACTGTGTTTTGAACTAGGATAGACTGATCTTCAGCAGAGGACTGATTTGTAGTTGTGTGAGAGAGTGAAAGAGATAGCTAGTTTTTATAGTGTTAATTTTTTATGACTCAAGTGTTTTAAAAAGGTCTTATAAGCCAGAGTATCTTTATAAAAAAATAGTTACATAAAGAATTCAACTGATTTTTGTGTTTACTTGGGCAAAGATTTTATAGCCCACTAAATTGTTTTCACCAGCTAAAAACTGCAATATTCCTATAGAACATGATATACCCTGTAAAAATGATGTGCGTTATGTTCTGCAGAAATGTCATTGCAAGTCCAGATATAGAAATATGACAATAGAGAAAATATTTTTCTCCAAGTTAGTTTCTCATTAAACTGATGCATACCATCTTTTCTGGGCATGCATTTTTGTGATTTCTATCCTTGGAGTACCACTTTTGCATTTTAACTGAAAAAGGAGAATGAGACACTTGGCCAAACTTGATGGCATTGTTTCTAGCATTTTTGTGTTTGATGCAAGTAATATTTTTTAGAAGCAAAAATAGCAGTGGCAAGGAAAAGCTAAAGGTCCAGAACACCTAGTTCAGCTTCCATTTCTCTTTCCTTTTCTGTAAAACGAGGGAATTGGAGATGCTCTCTAACATTCTGATTCTATTAATTCCTCAACCTGGTATCTTTACTCAAAAAAGCTATCCTTCAGTTTTCACTGTTCTTATCAAGGTGTTGATGTTTGAAAGTATAAGTACTATATATCAAAATCAAATTATTGAATAATTTGAACAAATTTCCTTTTATTCTTCACTATTGTTAAGATTAATTCTTTGGCTTTTTGATATCTATTATATTCCCAATGTGACCACTAGCTAGATTTAATATCATATAACATTGGATTCTTCTTGAATATAATGTTACTTAAATATGTACAAACATAAATAGGTATAATTCCTTAATCTTACAATGCTTATGTAATTATAAAACAAAAACAAACTTAGAAAACTAATTTCAGCAAACTACAATACCAACAAAGGGCAAACTAACTATTTAATGTGATGGATGTCTGTGTTCTCCTTGAAGTATCATGTATATAAGAACATTATATATAATGTGACATATAATGGCATAGAAGATGTAAGGTATATACACAATCATTGCATTTTTATGGAGAAATTTTTTGGAAAAAAGTACTTTCATCATAATAAAAGTGATTTTGAGTGTGTTACATAAACAGTTTTGTTCAAATAAAGATGGTATGTTATAATGTGAAAGGTCCTCAGTTCTGATATGCAGTAATACAGTACTAGCCTTGAATAATAGTGTCACATAGCTAAAAAGAAATGTAATATTATCAATAAATACTGATATACAGAAGGTAACAACCAGGAAATTTATTAGAAATAAAATCTCATTCATATTAATATGGGTAAAATTAATAGAACATAAAAGAATGTTGAGGAATGGAATGGAATGTTGTGGAATGGAATGGAATGTTACGCAATAGAGGGTACCGGAATGATTTGGAAAGGAATGGAACGTTATTTAACGGAATGGAATGTTATGGAACGGAATGGAATGTTGGTGAAAGAATGGAACCTTAACAAATGGAATGGGATGGAATGTTAAGCAATAGAATGTTGTGGAATGAAACGGAATGTACCTGCAATAGAGGGTACTGGAATGGTTTGGAATGGAACGGAACGTTATTTAATTGAATGGAATGTCATGGGATGGAATGGAATGTTGGGGAAAGAGAATGGACCATTAACGAAAGGAATGGAAGGAATGTCATGGAATGGAATGGGATTGAATGTTACTGAAATATTAATATCTTATTTCGGTGAATGTAGAGGATTTAAAAAGTGAACCATAATATAAAATAAATTGAACAGGTTTCTTTTACAGGTAGCTCTAATCCATATAAACATATTTTAGTAAAAAAAATGGAACAAGACAGTTAAACGTGAAGGAATTTCAACTTGATGCTTGTGGGTGCAATAAAAGCAAGAATTTTACTGTTTGATTATACAGAGCAACCAAGGAATTTGAATAAGCTCTAATAAAAGCGATGTCATTGAGAACCATGGCTAAACCAAGTAAGTTATCATATACCAAAATAGAAATCCACCCTCACAGCTCAAATCTATCATTGCTGGCATTCACTGAGGCATCATTTCAAAATTCAGCCCTAAATCCCAATTACCATGTTCTGAACATTAAGCTATTGCATTAAGGTTGAACCTAATACTTCCTTTGCTTTGAGTTATACCCATGAGTTACAGGAATAATGAGTTTATGTTTTAGCTTGGAGGATTAGTTTAAATTTTACCTCTAGATCAATTGTGTAGTCTACAGCTTATTTTTTGTAGTTTTTTAAGTAACTATGCTATGCTATGATAGTTTTTTCCCTACACTTTGCCATTAGGGGCAAGTAACAATTTATTTGTGCTCAGTGTTGAGTAGTTGCTAACCCAACACTTTAGGCCCTATCCCTCTCTACTGACCTCTTATCTCTAATTTGGCATATTGAGTACAAGGTAATTTTCAGATACTTATAAAGTGAAAATACACCTGTTTAACTGGTGATTATGTCATATTTACTTCCATAATATGGTGCCACAGAAGTTTGAGTTTGGCATGTCCATGCTGCTGTTTTTCATTCTCTCATTACTTTTCTCTCTCTCCATTTGAAATCACTTGAAGAGTCAATATTTTAGTTTTCCTTGACTTAAAGGATTCTCTCATTAGCCTAAAACAATGCATTTCTCAGTGCCAATTATATCTCAAATGGGAAAACAAAGAAATGGCACAGCTGTAGCTACTTGTAAGAAGGATAATTCAGAAGAGTTTAGCACTAAGAAAATCCCCTACCTGGGACTGACACTCTCAGATACTGATGGAAAAACAGAGGGAGTAATGTCCTGTGACTGGTCTATTTTTTTTTTAATTGCATTTTGCTTTATTGTGCTTTGTAGATACTTCATTTTTTACAAATTGAAGTTTTGCAGCAAATCTGTGTCAAGCTAAGTTTTTTTATATCATACTTGAACAACATGGTTACTAGACTCCCCCTGTTATCAAGTCCCCCCCACATACCCCATTACAGTCGCTGTCCATCAGCAAAGTAAGATGCTATAGAATCATCACTTGTCTTCTCTGTATATACTACCTTCCCCACATCCCCACCCCACTACATTATGTGTGCTAATCGTACGTCATGCCCTGTTTCCCCCTCATCCCTCCCTTCCCACCCATCCTCCCATTCCCTTTCCCTTTCGTAACTGTTAGTCCATTCTTGAGTTCTCTGAGTCTGCTGCTGTTTTGTTCTTTCAGTTTTTGCTTTGTTGTTACACTCCACAGATGAGTGAAATCATTTGATACTTGTCTTTCTCCGCCTAGCCTATTTCACTGAGAATAATACCCTTTAGCTCCATCCATGTTGTTGCAAATGGTAGGATTTGTTTTCTTCTTATGGCTGAATAATATTCTGTTGTGTATATGTACCACATCTTCTTTATCCATTCATCTACTGATGGACACTTAGGTTGCTTCCATGTCTTGGCTATTGTAAATAGTGCCGCGAAAAACAGGAGTGCATATGTCTTTTTCAAACTGGGCGGCTGCATTCTTAGGGTAAATTTCTGAGAGTGGAATTCCTGGGTCAAATGGTATTTCTATTTTTAGTTTTTTGAGGAACCTCCATACTTCTTTCCACAATGGTTGAACTAGTTTACATTTCCACCAGCAGTGTAGTAGGGTTCCTCTTTCTCCACATCCTTGCCAACAATTGTTGTTGTTTGTCTTTTGGATATCGGCCATCCTAACTGGTGTGAGGTGATATCTCATTGTGGTTTTAATTTGCATTTCCCTGGTGATTAGCGATGTGGAGCATCTTTTCATATGTCTGTTGGCCATCTGAATTTCTTCTTTGGAGAAGTGTCTGTTCAGATCCTGTGCCCATTTTTTTTTTGTTGGATTATTTGCTTTTTGTTTGTTGAGGTGTGTGAGCTCTTTATATATTTTGGATGTCAACCCTTTATCGTATCGTCATTTATGAATATATTCTCCCATACTGTATGATATCTTTTTGTTCTTCTGATGGTATCCTTTGCTGTACAGAAGCTTTTTAGTTTGATGTAGTCCCATGAGTTCATTTTTGCTTTTGTTTCCCTTGCCTGGGGAGATATGTTCATGAAGAAGTTGCTCATGTTTATGTACACGAAATTTTTGCCTATATTTTTTTCTAAGAGTTTTATGGTTTCATGACTTACATTCAGGTCTTTGATCCATTTTGAGTTTACTTTTGTGTTGGTCTATTTTTCTTAAGCAAATATGCTAACGTTTTGTGAGCTTCTTTCCAGAGAAAGTTTCCATATCTGCTTCAAGCGAAGGGAACATATAATGTCTGCACATCTGCATAGTTTAGGAATCATGCTTGCTTGCTTTTTATGATTTTAGAATGAGGGAAATTTGCTCTTCAGTGACCCAAAAGAGGTTAAGAGTTGTTATTGGATCTATTTGTGGGCCTGTCATTTCTGACTTTGAGAAATCAATTAAGGGGTTCAGAATTTCATTTCTGGCAGACGTGGTGCAAGAAATACCATTAAGCCTATTTTTGACACTTCATAGGAAATACAGGGAATATGAAACCCTTCAGTTGATGTGTCTTCCTTGATACTCTGTAGTTTTCTTCTCACTGTGTTAAACAGTGGATGATCTTGCCCTGAGAGGAAAGGTAACTTTATTTATGGCAATCTTTATTATATCATTATACTTGTTTGTTAGCTTATTGCCAGAAGAATCTTAGGGGTCTATGGACTGTAAAATGTACAGCTCTTCAACACTGAAATTGCTGCATTTAGGCACAATGTACAAAGGCTAATATTTTTTGGCTAATGCCATATAAAAAATTCTAGTAGGTGAGTATCAGTATAGTCTCATGACACAAAAAAATCTGATCAAATTTTAGTTAAAACAAATATATTCACATAACATCAAATAAAAAAAGTTCACTTGGATTTTCATTTGTTCTTACATATAGGGCATTACTAATGGCAATCTCTTATAATAAACTTCAAAAAATATACACACTCTATTAATTTGCATCCAAAATCTTCAAAATATCACACTTTGGTCTAGGAATTTTTCTGTCTTCCTATAGCCCATTTTTTGACATTTTCATTCTCAGGGGCAGAGTGGCTAAGAGAGTAAGCTGTGGAATCATTGCCTGGGTTTGAACCCTTGCTTGTTACTTACCAGCTGTGTCCTTGAGCAAGTTACTTAACATTTCTGAGCCTTTGTTTCCTCATCTGTAAAATGTTGGTAATTATAATAGTATTTTAGGGTTGTCTTGAGAGTTCATACGAGGAAAGTACTTAGCACAGTACCTAGCATATTGGGTTCCATAAGTGAAGCCACTACTGATACTTAACAATTTATTTTTATCCTTAAAGTCAACTTGAGAGTGTTTTTACTTTTACCACCTTATCTTTTCTTGTGATCATTAATGATGAAAATATATGCCATTTGAGGGATGGGATAATCTTAAAAATATTCTCTACTAAAATATATATGTAGCAGCTATGTTAAAACCATAAGAAAGTCTTGTTTTCTATTTGATGGACATGCATGGTTATCAATATTTTTCTGGCTTTGTTTTTCTCAAACTTTCATGGAAATAGGTATTCCAAATTTACCTTTTTAGCTCTATATGCATCATTAAATGATAAATTTATACCACAATTGTTTTCAAGTAGATAAATTATAATACCTGAATTTATTTTTTGTCAGTGATACAATAAAACTTACAGTACAAAGTGAATGAAGGAAAGATGTGGCATGTTGCTTTGTTGCTCATTTTTATTTTTTTACTTTTTAGTTTTTTGTTGCTCATTTTTAGTTGAACTATTATGGTCCAATGATGAACCAGAGATCAGGACAAAAATGTAAACGCCCAATATAAAACTAAGGTTGGAGGCACCAGAGGGAGGAGTGAGCACATCGGACACTGATGACGTGCCAAAGTCCCCAGCTGCTGCCCCCTCTCAACCTGAAAAATGTGCCTTAGGCTAGCCAATCCTCACACCACTGTAAATCTAAGCTCTGCCTCCCCCTACCTTCTTTAAAAACTAGCTGCCTGCCCTGCTGAATGCGACTTCCCTAGCCTCCATTTCTGTAGACTGGGGAACATCACCTGGGAATTGCGCTCAAATAAACTGCCTGGCCCTTTGTTGCCTCTCATCGCCTGCTTATTTCAGCTAGAATTTATCTTACAAAAACCAGTAGAATTTCTCTGCTTTTCTGTTGCTATGAGTTCTTTGTAACAGACTGCTTCTCAGTTACATATTTGTGTTGACCGTAACTCTTAGGAAATACATCCAGTTCATGTTAGGAGTGACTTGTATTTTGAATTTTCAGTAAACTAAGAAATATATTTGTAAACTATGAAAGTAAATTATGCTTCAGCAGTGAAATTGCCAATTTGTGAAATAAATCATGCATTCATAAACTACAGATTTTTAATAATAAAGATTGTTGATTACTGTTCTTGCTACTAAGAAGAAAGGGATTTTGAATACATGTGTAATATAGAACTGTTTTGTTTATGAAAGCCAAATCACAAAGTCTTTAACAGTTGGCTCTTTTTCTTTTCAAATTACTGCAGTTTGTTTTTGCTGCCTCTGACTGTCTCAATCCCTTGTTAAGGCTGCTAGATGGCATCAGATCGTGTTACTGAAACTTGTCTACCTCAGCAAGCTAACTTGATTTTATTAACAGAATATAAATTATGAATTTTTAAATGTTTTAAATCTTTTTTTTTCAAATTATCCTTTAAAATTTTTGGCTTGGTTTTTATGTAATCATAGTTCTATGCAGGATGGAAAGTATACAAGAATATTAAGCAGAGGGTATGGAAAAATAATTTGCACAGGAAAGAAAGGAACAAAAATGGGGGCGGGTGGGCCTGCTGTTACCATGCTGAATAACATAATATAGGCCATAACTTTGGGGAGCATTTCTGAATTTTGACGGGCATGAAAATGCAATTTTTAAATATCAAGCTAAGCCTTCTGTGGCCAAAATAATGTATTTTATTTTTGACTTAGGTAATTCGTGAAAAGTTGTGTGGAACTTTAATACTAAAGCTATAATCTAAAAAACCATTTACCTGGAGATGCTTCAACTAGTTGTTAAAGTAATGCAGTAATCATTGCAATCATGACTTTTTAATTTGGCTGATACCTGAAAAAATAGGAAAAGCCTGGGATGTCCTCTCTTATACACACACACACACACACACACCCCAAAAACAGATAATATTCCTCACATTTGGCTAAATGGAAGCTTGCTGCTGCCTTTGCTCTCCTTCAGATCAAACCTTTCTCTACAGTTGCACTTAGTATTTCTTAATTATTAAGTATTGCCTAAGTGTAAGCGAAATTCACCTTTGAAGCTCTTAATTCAAGAGTATTCCGGATAAACTGTCATCCACCTTAGTAATGGCATATGTAGCGTAAGTCTTACGTTTTAAAATATATTTTCAGCAATTACCTCTCATCATAGGCCTTTGAGACACACTACGCGGCTGTTTCGTCTTACAAGTACAGGAACTAAGGTCTGGGAGGGTGACTGCCCAGGATGCAGACGGTGAGTGGGCGCTGAGGTCCCGAAAGCAAGTCCCACGCACCCGCAAGGAGGGAGGGAGTCACCGGCGCCAGGGGGCGACTCCGCGGGTCCCAGCTTTGGGCCGGGCCGGAAGCGGAGCTGCTGAAGACTCCGCCCCGCTCTGCTCCGCCCCGCCCTGCCCCTGGCAAGCCAGTGGTTGCGCCTCTCAGGCTGCGGTCGGCCGCATCTGGAGCGGAGCCGGGTGGACGAGGTGCCGGCCGCCCCGCCCCTCCAGGCCGCCGCGCTCCTCCTGCGGCGGCGTCGCCGGGCGCGGCGTGAGGCGGGCGCTGCCGGTGAGTCCCTTCCCGACTGCCGGCTCGGTCCGCGGCTGGGCGGGGAGGCGGAGGATGGAAGCGGGCTTATCGGCCATTCCGTTCTATCTCTCCAGCGCCAGCAGCCCTGTGGCGGCGACAACGATGGACCGGGAGCCAGTGGGCCGTGCGGGAGAAGGAGAAGCCGTCGCAGCCTCGGGTGCAGCGGCCGCCGCGGCGTTCAAAGAGTCGGCGCCGCAGGTAGGGGGGGGGTGCGGCCGGGAGAGCCCAGCCTCCTCTCCGCCTCGTCCACCGGCTGCTCTTTTGGCCTGCCAGGCCTTCCTCCGAGCGGCCGCGTTTCGGGGTTCCTAACAGTATCCCCGTTTGTGCTCAGAGACAGGGCTCGGGGGACGGGGCGGAGGCCCCACTCCCCCACACACTGCCCCCACCCCCCCTCACCAGCCGGTGGCAGCGCCGCAGACTCGGGTGGCCGAGGGCTTCCGGGGCCGCAATTGCAGCTTCTGGTCTCGGAGCGAGAGAAGGAAGGCGTGTCCCCGAAAGGCCATCCTTAGGATAGCTGGAAGTCAGACGAGGGCGGCTTCAATCGCTTCTCAGCCTCTCCTGCAAGCGGATAGCAGCTACGTGCTGAGCGTTTACACGCTTTATTCCACTTAATTCTAATAACTTGTGCATGAGGTGGACGTTACCCCATTTCAGAAACGAGGCAACTAAGGCACGGAACTGTTTTCTGTCCAATAGGATTATAAAATAAAAGGAAACAAGTGAACTTAATACTATATTTAACCTAATTTAACAAAAATTAAATGTGATTAATATGAAAGTTATCAACGAGATGTTTTACATTCTCCTTTTGGTACTAAGTCTTTGAGCCTGTGTGTATTTTACATCTGCGTATCTATCTTAGTTGGAACTATACATGCCAGGAGAGCATCAGCCACGTGTGGCTAGTGGTTAGTGTATCGGGTAGTGTACGACGTTTAGAGAGTTAGATAAGGTTTGGAGGTTTGTTTTGGATTTGGTAGTCTGAAGTAGTAGTTCAGGATCTTTGGTCAAGTTAAACTAATGAAATTACTTAAACTGAACCAGCTCAAGAGTATACAGTTTTGGTCATTCAAAACCTCGAGTTGCTCCTGTGTAGAAATCTTTTCACCTCAGTGACAATGAAGCGTTTTTGGTAGCTTCATTTTTGAGACTAGCTTCCTGAATGTTAGAAACACTAACAAACTGCAGATACCTACAGAATGGTGCCTTAGAGTATAAAATGTAGTTTGTATTAAAAATTTTTCCACATCATAGTCTTCATAGTCTTTATATGTAATTTCTTGTTATGTTTTATTTTGTTTTTCTTCTCCTGCTTAAGGAGGAGGGTCACCTGAAAGAAGGAATTCAGGGGCAATCAGAGCCGCTTTTCCTTTTCAGCTGAGTTCAGGCCTATTGCTGATAGGTACACTTGAACCTTTAAGTCCACAGCGTTTAATGGTTTTCTGTTTGATTTTTCCTTCTGTTGCTAGGATTGTTTTCATCACTGTTTCTCTTTGAATCTTTCTAATAGCAAAGTAAAAACACCTGTACTGATTTACCAGATAAATGTTGACGAAAGACTTTATTTTGGTTTAATGATGTTATGTTATTTTCATATTCTTGGTTAAAAAAATAATAAATATTTAAACAGTAAATGGGTGGTAGAGCAAAAAGTAAAAAGACACAGGGATACCTGCATTGCCCATTCCTCACATTCACATTCCCTGTAAGTAACTGTTAAATTTCTAGTGCATTCTTCCTGGGATTTCTTATGCATCTACAATCTCTTCCTTCATGTTAAACACAAATGGGTTCATACTGTACAAACTGTTTTCTGACTCTTCCTATTTGCTCTCTCATTCACATTCCTGAAGCAGAAACATCTCTGGAGTTTGAGCAGAATAAGAGAGAGGAGGCCACTGAGGTGGAAACTTGGGTGAAAGGAGTGGCTACCATTCTGTATTCCTTTATCAGTTTGTCAGAAGTGAGAAATCCAAAGTACCACGTAGGGAAGGGAGTAAGAAATAGGAGCTTGGGTCTGTGTTTAGACTTAGGCATCAAACCAGGCTATCCAGTGCCTGTTGTTACATTCTGTCCAGCAGCTTGTCAGACTAGACTTTTAACCAAAACCTCATTCTCAATATTATTAAAGGAATTAAAATTTCAGTACGACTCATTCATTTATATAGCACTGATACCACAAACAACTTACAGTGTGCCAAGAACTGTAGGCTAAAGGAGATAGCAGTGAAGGATGCACACTGCCTACTCCTATGTTGCTAACCACATAGCTGGAGAAGGTGACACAATAAAATCCAAGTGTAGTACATATTTTAAAGAAATTCTGGTGCTATGGGAGTATATAAAAAGAAAATTGCCATTAAAAACAGGCCCTGAAGAACAAGATAGGGAGATTTACAGTCTGGTTAACCATAAAAGGTCATAAAATGATAATTGACATTACATCTCATAATTTCATGGTGTTAGGAAACTATCTTCAGATCTTTGGACTTTGTTAAAATGGAATGTGTTTTATTGACAGTGAAATTTTTCATACTTGCAGGTTTACTGTTTGTAAAAATGAAACATCTGTAAAATTCAGAGAATAACTTTCATTTGTAATTATTGGAAATTTTGTACCAAATTATTTTATTTTCTAGTTGGTTTTACCCAACAATATCTCCCTTTACTGTCTCCTCTCACCCTCTTCTCCTGACCAAGTAGAGGTTGGAATCACGTCATAGACTGTCTTTAGCAGATTTCCAATTTTGTTTCCTAAGATGAGGGGTTGACAAACTACAGCCTGTGGGCCAGATTGCACTAGCCACCTGTTTATATGAAGTTTTATTAGAAAACATCAGTGCCCATTCATTATGTGTTGTCAGTGGCTGTTTTTGCTGAGTTCAGTAGTTGTGACAGAGACTATATGGCCTGAAAAGCCTGAATATTAACCATCTGGCCTTTACAGAAAAAGTTTGCTCACTCTTGCTTAATTTGATAAACATAAAACCTAGGTTTTACTGTATCAAAAATTAATACTAAATTTCTAAAAGAAAGCCCGTAAAGAAAAGTCTATTCAATAAAAATCCATATATAATTAGAGCAAGTAAAATGCATTTTCAATTACACATTATGTATAATAATATTACTCAAAGTTCTCTTTAAACATAACTAACTTTGGTAATGGAATGAAAAATCTGGATCATATTTCAGCCTTCCCCTTTGTAGATTTTAAAGAAATCTTTTGTAAAGAATATAGCAGCCACAAATCTAAAGCCTGCAATGAGAACAAGTACATGTCTATTGATAATCATGCTGAATGTAAATGGTCTGAATGCACCAATCAAAATACATAGTGTTACTGAATGGATAAAAAAAAAAAAGATCCATATATATGCTGCCTACAAGAGACTCACTTCAAACCCAAAGACACAGATTAAAAATGAAGGGATGGAAAAGATATTTCATGCCACTAATAGGGAGAAAAAAGCAGTAGTTGCAGTACTTGTATCAGACAAAATAGACTTCAAAACAAATAAAGTAACAAGACAAGGATATTACATAATGATAAAAGGGTCAGTTCAACACGAGGATATAGTCATTATAAATATCTATGCACCCAACATAGGAGCACCCAAATATGTGAAACAAATACTAACAGAATTAAAGGGGGAAATAGAATGCAATGCATTCATTTTAGGAGACTTCAACACACCACTCACTCCAAAGGACAGATCAACCAGACAGAAAATAAGTAAAGAGACAGAGGCACTGAACAACACATTAGAGCAGATGAACCTAACAGACATCTACAGAACACTCTACCCAAAAGCAGCAGGATACACATTCTTCTCAAGTATACATGGAACATTTTCAAGAATAGATCATATAGTAGGCCACAAAAAGAACCTCAGTAAATTCAGAAGGATTAAAATTGTACCAACCAGCTTCTCAGACCACAAAGGTATGAAACTAGAAATAAATTACACAAAGAAAATGAAAAATCCCCCAAACACATGGAGCTTAATAATAACAGGCTCCTAAATAATCAATCAATCAATGACCAAATAAAAACAGATCAAGCAATATATGGAGACAAATGAAAACAATAACTCAACACCACAAAATCTGTGGGATGCAGTGAAGGCTCTCCTAAGCAGGAAGTATATTGCAATACAGGCCTACCTCAGGAAAGTAGAACAATCCCATATGAACACTCTAAACTCACAATTAACAAAACTAGAAAAAGAAGAACAAATGAGGCCCAAAGTCAGTGGAAGGAAGGACATAATAAAGATCAGAGCAGAAATAAATTGAGAAGAATCAAACAATAGAATCAGTGAAACCAGGAGATGGTTCTTTGAGAAAATAAACAAAATAGATAAACCACTAGCCAGACTTACCAAGAAAAAAAGAAAGTCTACACACATAAACAGAATCAGAAATGAGAAAGGAAAAATCATTACGGACACCACAGAAATATAAAAAATTATTAGAGAATACTATGAAAAATTATATGCTAACAAATTGGATAACCTAGATGAAATGGGCAACTTTCTAGAAAAATACAACCTTCCAAGACCGACCCAGGAAGAAACAGAAAATCTGAACAGACCATTACCAGCAACGATATTGAATTGGTGATAAAAAAAACTACCTAAGGAAAAAAATACCTGTACTGGGTGGCTTCACCGCTGAATTTTATCAAACATTAAGTGGAGATCTAATACCCATCCTCCTTCAATTTTTCCAAAAATGTGGAAGAGGAGGGAATACTTTCAAACTCATTCTATGAGGCTAGTATCACTCTAATAACAAAACCAGGCAAAGGCACCACAAAAAAATATTGCAGACCAATATCCCTGATGAACATTGATGCAAATATGCTCAACAAAATATTAGCAAACTGAATTAAAAAATACATAAAAAAGATCATCTGCTATAATCAAGTAGGATATATTTCAGGATGCAAGGATGGTACAGTATTAAAAAATCCATCAACACATATACCATATCAACAAAAAGAAGGAAAAAAACCACATGAATGCCTCCATATATGCTAAAAAAGCATTCGACAAAATTCAACATCCATTTATGATAAAAACTCTCAACAAAATGGGTATAGAGGGCAAGGACCTCAACATAGTAAAGACCATATATGACAAACCCACAGTCAGCATCATACAACAGAGAGAAGCAGAAAGCTTTTCCTTTTAAGATTGGGAATAAGACAAGAATGCCCACTCTCCTAACTTCTATTCAACATAGTTCTGGAGGTCCTAGCCATGGCAATCAGACAACACAAAGAAATAAAAGGCATCCAGATTGGTAAGGAAGAAGATAAACTGTCACTATTTGTAGATGACATGATACTATAAATAGAAAACTCTAAAGACCCTACCAAAAAACTATTAGAATAAGGGAATCCAGTAAAGTTGTAGGATATAAAATTAATATTCAGAAATCTATTGCATTTCCATACGCTAATAATGAACCAGCAGAAAGAAATTAAGAAAATGACCCCATTACAATTGCCATCAAAAATAATAAAATACCTAGGAATAGATTCAGCCAAGGAGGTAAAAGATCTTTACTCTGAAAACTATGACATTGGTAAAATAATTTGAAGGTGACACAGCTAAATAGAAAGATATATGATGTTCATGGATTGGAAGAATTAATATTGAAATGTCCATACTCAGGGTAACTGAACCAGTCTTTATCAAATGCAATCAGTGCAATCTCTATCAAAATATCTATGGCATTTTTCACAGAACTAGAACAAATAATCCTAACATTTGTATGGAACCACAAAAGACTCAAATAGTCAAAGCAATCTTGAGAAAGAACAACAAAGCTGGAGCTATCATGCTCTCTGATTTCAAAGTATACCACAAAGCCATAGTAATCAAAGCAGTGTGGTACTGGCAAAAAAAAAAAAAAAATGCATAGATCAATGAAACAGAATGGAGAGCTCAAAATGACAAAGGAGGCAAAAATGTACAATTGGGAAAAGATGGTGTCTTCAATACACAGTGGTGAGAAAAACTGGACAGCTACATGCAGAAGAACAAAACTTTTTGATGCCATACACAAAAATAACCCAAATGTATTAATAACCTAAATGTCACCTGAAACCATGGAACTCCTAAAAGAAAACATAGGCAATAAAAACTTAGACATTGGTCTTATTTTTGGATTTTTCTCAGGCAAGGGAAGCAAAAACAAAAATAAACAGTTGGGACTATATCAAACTAAAAGCTTTTGCACAGTGAAGGAAACCATCAACAAAATGAAGAGGAAGCCTACAGAATGGGAGAATATATTTGCAAGTGGTATAACCGGTAGGGGTTAATATCCAAAACACAAAGAACTCATACAACTCCACACCAAGAAAACAATTGAATTTAAAAAATGGGCCAGAGGATCTGAGTAGACATTTTTCCAAAGAAGAAATATAGATTGCTAACAGACACATGAAAAGGTGCTCAATATCACTAATGATTGGGGAAGTGCAAATCAAACTACAGTGAAATATTACCACACCTATCAGAAGAGCTAGTAGCAAAAAGGCAAGATATAACAAGTGTTGGTGAAGATGTGGGGAAAAGAGAACCCCTGTGCACTGTTGGTGCAACTGTAAATTGGTGTGGTCACTATGCGAAACAGTATGGAGTTTCCTCAAAAAATTACTAATAGAAGTACTATAGGATCCAGCAATTACACTTCTGGGCATTTTCCAGTTGGAAAAGATATATGCATGCCTATGTTTATTGGGGATATGCAAAGTAGGTGGAAAGAATTAAGAGGTAAAAACTTCTAGTTATAAAATAAGTCACAGTAATGAATAGTGCAGCTTAGGGAATATAGTTAGTAATATTGTAATGACTGATGACATAGTAACTACACTTTGGTATTTTTTAATTATTACATAAATGTATCAGTATGTTGTACACTTGAAACTAATATAATGTATGTCAGCGACAATTAAAAACAAAAATAAAGGAACTTCAAAAAAATGAAACACATGTCTCTTAAAAAAAGAAATCCAAAGACTTAGGAAAGTTCCCTGATATAAACTTGTTTTATGTATCTAACTTATGTATATGTGTGTCTCTGTGATTTTCCTTTGATATTACATGTTAATTGCCTATAATTAGCACTAGTCTTTAAAATGATTGCTGTCCAGAGTGTCTTCACATATTATACAGCATTGTAATTACTATGACTTGAAGTGTTGTGCTTGATTTCTTACCTGTTGATTTAAACAAAAAGTTTATTTGGTAAAGTTTTATTTTTTAACCCCAGTGGTGAGTATGCAGTTGTTTGCTCTATTATTAAGGTCTACATATATGGCATTGATATTCATGTGTGTATGATATGCCTTATTTTTGAGAAAAACTAAGGATTGGGTTTATCTTTATTCCCTAATATAAAATAACCAAAAATGTTTTTTGTTATATGAAAGAAAATTAATCTCACTTGAAGTTTTCTTAATTTATTATTGACATTAGGTGGGTAATGAAAGAGGCTTTGAAAATGTAGAACTGGGAGTCATAGGCAAAAAGAAGAAAGTGCCAAGGAGAGTCATCCACTTTGTTAGTGGTGAAACAATGGAAGAGTACAGCACAGATGAAGATGAAGTTGATGGCCTGGAGAAGAAAGTTTTACCTACTATTGATCCGGTAGGTTTGATATTTATGTTCCTTTTGTCAAATTTTTTTATATTGCTTTATTTCACCCTTAAACATTGAATGTGAAGGACTTTCTGAGGTTTAAATCAACTTATTTTGATTATAAAACTATGCATTAGGATTTTGGTAGAAAATATTATTTTTACAAATATGGATGGAAATACTTCCTGCATTTCAATAGCCTTAAAGTTAATGAGTATCACAGTTTTTTTTGTCATTTGGCTAGGTTTCTTTACTGTCTATCTTACTAAATAGAGTGCTTGAATTCCAGTCCCTTTGAATTAAGTTTCCACCCAAAACAGTTTTCTGTTCTTTTTTAATATTACCTCAAGTTCTGATTAGAAGGTAAGAGTGTACAGTAACTTCACCATGTGGCTCACCAGCTAAATTTAATAATTTCTGATTTATACATGATGTGATGATAAAATTATAGGAGTAGTTGTACATTCTTAGGAAAGGAGTGTTGCCCTTCTGAGTAATCTTTTTGAGAAATCATTGATTCAGTATTTTCCTGGCTTTCTGAGAGGTACTGTTTCAGTCACTGATGATACGGCAATGGGCAGTATAAATTTCTTCTCTTAGGTGCTAGTGGGCATATTTATATTTTTATTATTGAGTTGTAAAGTGTTCTTTATGTATTCTGGATACAAGTCCTTTATCAGAGAGAGGACTTCCAAGTATTTCCTCCAATTCTATGGGTTGCCTTTCACTTTCTTGATTATGCCCTTTGAAGTACAAAAGTTCTTTATTTTGATGAAGTCCAAGTTACCTATTTTTTCTTTTGTTGTGATTTTAAAGATATATTTAAGAATCCTTTGCCAAATCTGAGATTGTGAAGATTTGTCTCTATGTTCTAGGAGTTGTATAATTTTAACTCATGTTTAGGTCTTTGATCCATTTTGAGTTGATTATTGTATATGATGAGGCAAGAGTTTAACTTCATTCTTTTGCTTGTGGTTTTCCATTTGTCCTATTCTTTTCCTATTGGATGATCTTGGCACCCTTGTTGAAAACCATATGATCATAGAACATGGTTTTATTTCTAGACCTTCAGTTCTACTCCACTAATATAGATATATCTATTGTTGTGCCAGTACCACAGTGTCTTAATTGTTGTTGCTTTGTAGCAGATTTTGAAATTGGGAATTGTGAATCCTTCTACTTTGCTCTTTTTGAAGATTGTTTGGCTTTTCTGGGTCCTTTGCAAGTCCATATAAATTTTAAAATCAGCTTGTCAATCTCTGCAAAGAAGCCAGCTGGGGATTGTGTTGAATCTGTAAATTTGGGAGTATTGTCTTTTGATTTGCAAATTTTAAAATTTATTTAGGTCTCCTTTGATTTCTATGTTTTACACTTTTCATAGTATAAGTCTTACACTTCTTAAATTTATTTTATTCTTTTTGATGCTGTTGTAAATGGAATTGTTTTCTTAGTTTTATTTTCATATTATTCAATACTGATATGTTGAAATATAGTTGCCTTTTGTATACTGATCTTGTATCCTGCAATCTTGCTGAACTTGTTTATTCTAAGAATTTTTTAGTGGATTCCTTAGGATTTTCTATATACAAGATCATGTCATGTACAGACAGAGGCAATTTTACTTTTCTCTTCCAACTGGGTGCCTTTTATATTGTTTTCTTGCCTAATGCCCTAGCTAGAACCTCCATTGCAGTGTTGAACAGAAGCAGTGAGAGTGGACATCCTTGTCTTGTTTGGAATCTTAGGAGGAAACTATCCAGTCTTTTACCATTAAGTATGATATAGCTGTGGGTATCTGTGGATGCCCTTTATCAGTTTTAAGTATTTGCCTTGTATTCTTACGTTGAGAATTTTTTTTTTAATCATGATGGGGGTGTTGAATTTTGTCAGATACTTCTTCTGCATCAAGAGGATCATGTGGTTTTTAAATTTTTTCTATTGATATGGTGATGTTGATTGATTTTGGGATGCTAAACTATGTATTCCTACAATAAAACCCACTTGATTATGGTTTATAATTCTTTTTACTCAGTTTTCTAGTATTCTGGTGGGGATTTTTGCATCCATATTCATAAGAAAATAGGTGTGTAATTTTATTGTTATGTCTTTGCTTGGTTTGGGTACGAGAGTAATACAGGCCTCATAAAGTGAGTTGGAAACTATTCCTCTTCTGTTTTTTAGGAGAGTTGATATTAATTCTTTAATTGCTTGTTAGACTTCAGCTGTGAAGCTGCCTGGGCTTTTTTTTTTGTGTGTCGTTTTTGATTACTGTTTTCTTTTTTTTTTTAAGCCTCCTAATAGTGTAAACAACCCAACAATGCTGTGTTTTTAATATCTAGGAAAATAATTGTACATTGCAGCTAGTAGTTATGAATTTCAGCCATTAATTTACCTTGTACTCATTATTTATTATTAATGTTAGTGTTAATTTCTTGACAACCATATTCCCTTTAGTGAAATTTTTTGACATGAATGACGTATTAGGAAAAGATTACTATAATTTATCTACTCATTCTTTCAATATATAATGATTAGTGTTTCTTTTTAAGTCAATTTCAGTAGTTTTGTATCTTTTAGAAATTAGTCCATTTTATGTGTTATCTAATTTATTGGCATGCAGTGGTTCATAGTATTCCTTTATAACCCTTTTTATTTTTTCATTTCTGACTCTAGTTTTTTGGGTCCTTCTTTTTTCTTGATCAGTCTAGCTAAAGGTTTGTTAGTTTTGCTGTTCTTTTCCAAGAACCAGCTTGTAGTTTCATTGATTTTCTCTCTTGTTTTTTTTCTCCATTTAATTAATTTGCATTCTAGTCTTTATTATTTCTTTCAGCTTGCTTTAGCTCTGGTTTGCACTTCTTTTTCGTGTGTCTTGAGGTGGAAAGGTAGGTTATCTTTCTTCTTAATTAGCTATAAATTTCCCTTGAAGCACTGTTTTAGTTAACATTTCATAATTTTTTAATGTCACATCTTCATTTTCATTCATCTCAAAGTATCTTCTTTTCACTTTTGATTTTTTCTTTGACCTATTGGTTATTTAAGAGTATGTTGTTTACTTCCCATGTATTTGTGAATTTCTCACATTTTTTTTCCTGTTATTTCTAATTTCTATTGTGGTTAGAGAACATACTTTATATTATTTCTGTCCTTTTAAATCTAATGAGGTTTGTTTTATGGCCTATCATATGGTCTGTCTTGGAGAATCTTCTGTATGTCCTTGAGAAGAATGTATATATATCCTCTTGTTGTTAGGTGGAGTATTCTATAGATGTCTATTAGGTTTCGTTGTTTAAGTCTAATATTTTCTTGTTTATCTTCTGCCTAGTTGTCCTATTTTTTATTGAAGATGGAGTATTGAAGTTGCTAGCTATTACTGTTGAATTATCTATGTTTCCCTTTATTTCTGTCAGTTTTGGTTCTGTTGAGCTCCTATGTCGAATATTTCATTTCAGTTATTGTACTTTTCAACCCCAGAATTTCCATTTGGGTTTCTTTTATAATTTCTCTCTTTATTGACAGTCTTTATTTGATGCAATGTTGTTATCATGCTTTCCTTTATTTCTTTGATTATGGTTTCCATAATTCTTTGATCATACTTATAAAGGCTACTTTGAAATGTTTTCTTTTACATCAAATGTCTGTTCACTCTCATAGGTAGTTTCTGTTTGCTTTTTTTCCCCCATGTATGGGTCATACTTTTCTGTTTCTTTGCATGTCCAATAATTTTTTGTTGGAAATCAGACATTTTAGATAAGATGGCAACTCTGGTTACTCCCTCCCCCTACTTCTTGTTATTATTAGGTACTTTTTTTTTCAGTGACTGCTGGATTATTTTAGTGAAGCCTGTCCCAGTTCTCTGCTACAAACTAACTGGCCTATAGTTTAGCCTATATCTTCCATAGACTCTAAGAGTATCTTCCCAGTTACCTTTTACTACAGTGTCCATTGATTGTGAGAGCACCCCTAGGCTTGTACTTCTCCAGCTGTGTTGCAAATGAAGTCAGTTCATTTGGGAAGAGATTAGGAGCTGTGTGTTTTATGGCCTACTTTTCCTCCTTGCCAAAATCTCTTCGCCAGAGTTCTGAAGTTGGGAGCTAGGAAAGTGATGCATTTCTGAGAGACATCTCTATTCTAGGAGCTCAGTGCTCAGTGCAGGTGGGAAGTAGTAGCATTAGGTCTTCTTGATTTGTCTCTTCTGCCATGAAACCACTGCCTTATGAATTGGAGTAGGGCTGTCAGTGCCCCAGTATTCTTAGTGGTCCCATGCCTATGGCGAGGATCCTCCATCCCATGAATGGAGGCTCACAGAAGACAGGAGCCCCCACCTTTCAAATCTACTCACTTGGAAACTTAGATTCCCTATTAGGTGGCTTATGGGCAAGATCAGAAATGCTGATTAATGTCTTCTTCCTGAGAAGAAAGCCCTCTGACTGGGAGCTCAGAGGGAAGAAGTCCTGTGTACTTGGTTGTACCATTCTGGAATTGAGTTTCCACCTCACTTGGCTGGAAAGGCAATGGGAGAGAGTGGTTTTGGTTAAGTTACCCAGACTCTTGAGCTTTTCTTATCAGGTTTTCATATGTTTTCTTGAATAGGTGTTTCTTCATTTGTCATATGCCCTTAGGAACATTTCCAGAAGCTTTAAATTTGTTAGTAATTTTCATCAATTTCACTGGGGAGCGAGTCCACTGAGTTCCTTATGCTGTTGTGCTGGAAGTCCATGTCCAGTCTTAAAATCTTTATCTTATATATAGCAGATTGCCATTAGAATTTTTTTTGAATTTATAGGCCAAAAAATAGTGATAAGAAACCCTTTGAGATTCCCTTCACTGGGAGGCAATGTTCAGGAGAATTTAGGAATTTGGCTTTTAGTTCTGACTCTATCCTGTAGTAAAGGTCACCAGAGTTACTTTGCTTTGACAAAGAGGTTCTGTGATTATACAAAAAAGATAACATTTACTTTCAGAGTTGTTTTTGAAGATTATTGAGATAATACACATTAAAACTCATTGAA